TCCTTCTTCTTGAACAGGTGCTGGAAACTCTAATGGTCAGTATAGACCTCGCAATGAAAGCCGTACAGATAGTGCCTCCAAATCTTCAGTGCGTGAACAATGACTGCCATCTCTAAGTCATGAACAGGGTAATTCTTCTCATGAACCTTCAACTACCAAGATGCGTAGGCAATCACCCTACCATCCTGCATCAATACCGCCCAAGCCCAATACATAAAGCATCATAATACACTGTATAAGATCCCGAACCTGAAGGCAACACCAACATTGGGCTATAGGTAAAGCAGTCTTGAGCTTTTGAAAGCTCAACTCACCCTCATCGGACCATCTGAAAAGAGAACCCTTCCGTGTCAACTCGGTCAATGGGTTTGAGATAGACTCCAAGAACGGGTGATAATAACCTGCCAAACCCAAGAAGCTTTGAATCTCTATAGCTAAAGTAGGCCTAGGGCAGTTCTGAACTACCTCAATCTTCTTAGAATCCACTTTAATGCCCTTGGAAGATACAACATGGCCCAAAAAGGCAATCGAGTTCAACCAGAACTCACACTTTGAAAACTTGGCATATCACTGACGATCCTTTTGAGTCTGAAATACGATACGAAGATGTTACTCATGCTCCTCTCGACTGCAGGATTAGACTAAAATATCATCAATGAAGACGATCATAAAAGAATCCAAATAGGTCTTGAATACCCGGTTCATCAAATCCATAAATGCTACTGGGACATTAGTCAAGCCAAATGACATCAACAAGAACTCATAGTGATAATACCGAGTCCGAAAAACTATCTTAGGGACATACGATGCCCTAATCTTCAACTAATGGTATCCAGATATCAAGTCAATCTTGAAAAATACCTTGGCACCCTGAAACTGATCAAATAAGTCATCAATCCTCGGCAAAGGATACTTGTTCTTGATAGTGAACTTGTTCAACTGGCGATAATCTATACACATCCTCACCGTCCCTTCCTTCTTCTTGACAAACAACACCGGTGCACCCCAAGGCGAGACACTCGGTCTAATGAATCCTTTATCAAGTAAATCCTACAGCTGCTCCTTTAATTCTTTCAACTCAACTGGGATCATAGGGTATGGTGTCCTTTCTTATCATAATGGTTGCATAAATAATTCTTATATTTGAACCTTAACTTACTTCTGCTTTTACCTCTATTCCTTAAACCTCTTGTTCTATCTCTCCCCCAGTCTTCTATAACCAAAACATCCGCCTATGAGGATGAACTCTGAGATTTTTTCCTTATTTTCTCATTCAACACACCATTCTTTGCATATTCCATTATCACCTTACCACCACGAGCTGAATTTGTCAAAAGAATATGAAGAGTTTTTCAAGAATCTGCAGAATATTAGAAGTCAAAGTCCATGTATCTCATCATTAAGATTATCTTTTATTCACGACAACTAAATAAGGTCACTCTGAAAATAATTTATATGATCAAGAATAGGACTAACCTCCTTGTATTCAAAGGTCATCATTTGCTTTAGTATGAACAATTTGTTGTTCCCAATTTTTAAAGCATAAAATGTCTCTCACTTTTCTCACAGTGATTTCAAATGTATCTCATTTGTATATGATTATGAATATTATCTTTACCCATTGTCTTATATATCCACAAATTTACTGGTTTTTCTATATCCTAATTTTTATCAGACATGGTCTCAGGTTATGAGCTACAAAAATGAGCAAATGCATCTTCTTCACGCATAAACAAAATCGTTTATTTTGCTTTTTCAAATATTATAATTGCTCCCTTTAAATATATCATCTTGATCATATTCGCCCCCATCACGTAAAATTTTGAATAAATAACTAAGGCTCTGATACTACTGTTATGTCGAGAAAGAGACAAAAAAGATAAAGAACATCAAATTTTAACGTAAAAAACCTTTTGAATTGAAGGTAAAAACTACAGGATTACAAAGATCCATTCTAACGAAAAGAGGATTACAAAAGTCTTACAAATTATCCAAACAAAAAGAGCCAAATATGGGGTAACAAAAGCAACAACAAATCAATTGAACAAAGAAGATAAATTACCCAAAAATAAAGTTGTTGTTCAGGACCGAAATCGGATACTGCGGACATCCACATCTAATCTCCATCCTTCAAATCAAAAATCAAAATATTAGGAACACTCAGTTAAAATTTTAGCCCGATCCAACAGTGAACGAATAGGAAAACGTAATTTAAAGCTGTGGTCGGAAATAAAATTTTCAGCAAAAAAGTTCTTTTTTCTTCTCTCTTCTCTCTTAGTGGATACTCTCTATCAAAACCTCGCGTATGTGCTAAAATATTTCAATGATTAATACCAAATGACAATTCTCCAAAGTTGCTATTTATTTATAAATAATGAGTGGTATTTTCTCTAAAAGCCAAAATCAACTCCAAATAAGAATAAAGATCGAATCCAATTTCAAATAGGAATGAAAAGCTCAAGAGAATAAGATTAGGCCATTGTGCATTTAGCCGGACAACATATGCATGGCCCAACAACTTTGGAATCAACATAAGTAGAAGTGGGTCACCCATATAAGTAATACGGGCAAGTACGCATCGTGTAACCAATATATTTTGTACTTTCAATGTTGAATTAATGACCTTCAATGGAGGTTGAAAGGAACTGGTTGAACATGAATTGATTTCCTTTTCTTGCCGATAATTATTTTTTGACTCGTTTGCAGTAAATAGGACACTATTGATAATAGAAGATCCCGGCCGATTGTCTTTATTTTTTTCCTAATTAAAAAGCTCAGTTAGGATTAGCTAGGGGTGTCAATGGTTCAGTTTGACCGGTTATTTTATAAAATTTATACCATATCAATTTTTCAGTTATTCTATTATATATAACCAAAATTAGACTTTTCGAAACCGTCTCAATCATGTCGGTTTCTCTTCGGTATCGGTACGGTTAAGTTAATTTTTGGTATTTTTTTAAATATCATGTAAAATTCACCAGTAGAAGTAGAATGCAATAACACACGTTCTTTTATAGGACCCAGCAAACCTCTCGAGACATTTTTACTGTTTAAAGGGTGATGAATTAAAAAAAATAAAAGATGGCTATAGTATAGATCCATCAACTATTCTACAACAACGTAAAAGAAACCTAGCAAAGGCAAAAAAAATATAAATCACACGAGTAGAAAGATATTAACCAAGTTGGGACTCAAGAATAAAGTCTATAGAAGATTAAATATTTAAAAAGATAAATCTAAATTATATGAAAGGAAATATATTCAATACATTGTAGTTTGCTACTCATAATCGCTAGAATACGTTGTGTCTTGCTAATAAAGATACTTGAAATAACTTAATTTAAGTAGAAGTAGCATAATAGGTTTTAGGAATTAGTATTTTGAGTTTAATTACTTGTTGGCTTGTAATAGTTTTCATAATTTCAAGGCCCAAAGAAAAATTTAATGCATTATTATTTTTAAACTTACTAGATAAATATATTTTTCACATGTAAAATTTATTCGGTACGATTCGGTATTTTTTCGATTTATTTTTATATAAAAAAAATTACCCTAATTATTGGTACGGTTATAGATTTATATAAAAATCTAAAATCGATTCGGTGCGGTACGGTTCAATCGATTTAGATGGTTTTTGAATATTTATTGACACCCTTAGGATTAGCTCAAGCCCGACCCGGCTTGATACTGGAGTAGGCAGCTCGATTCGGCTCAGCTTAACGCCCGGGCGGCCAGGCCTAACGACCGTCCTTGTACTTAGTGTTAAAAACGTTTATTTTCCGCGAATATTTGCTTACTGTGTGTTCTTAATAAGTGAAAGTTATATATTTTCTTAATGGTTAATGCCAAAATACATGATTCACCTCTTTTTTATGGAGAATTTATTCTTTAAAATTTTCTTACTGACTAAATTATTACCGTTGACTCCGCTAGTTCATCAGAATTTTAATTCGTTAGGCTTTAATTACTGCGGACAAAAGGATTTTGCTGATTCTGGAATGATTCTTCAGTATAGTACTGGCTTTGAAATTGTCTTTCTGAAAGCTCTCTCCGCTGTGAATTTATGAATATTGTGTAAGAACTTTCTGAGATATGGATGCTCGATGTTTAAAAATGAAATTCTGGTTCTGCTACCGTCAGTACATATCCATTGGAATTTCTAGAAGTTTTGAATAGTGATTTGGCAACAGAACAGTCAGTTGTTCCCTTCTGGGACGTTTCAGAAAGAATAACGAAGTTATCTGTTAGATTCCCTTTGTTATTTCATATTTTATTAGTTCAGATTTGGTTCACCGCATTAACAAAAATAATTTTAACTTACAATTTCCGATAAATTATACTCACCATTGGTTGGTTATACATGAAAATTAGAGAACTGTTGTACAACTTAGGGCGAAGTGCAGTAATAGCCACTTTTAAGTTCGCTATTTAAAATATATCTATCATTTACAACGTATTTAAAGATTAGCTAATTCACCCAAACTTCAAGACTAAATATTCTAAATTTTTGAGCTGCTAATTTGAAATTCAGGACACTTTGTCCTGAATTTCTGAACTATTAATTTAAAATTCAAGACATAAGATTCGAACCTCTGGACACAATTTTCGAATTTTAAGACACGATGTCCTGAAGTTTGAACTTTGAGGTTTAAACTCTAAGACATCGTGTCCTAAAATTTGAGCGAAATTGACTAATCTTTAAATACATTGTAACTGTGAATATATTTTAAACAGCATGCTTAAAAGTGGCTACCTAGTGTCATTTCCACTATAACTTAATACAACATTGGTTGGTCTCATTAAATTTCGCATTGCTAATATTTGCATAAATAAGTTATGCATGTGTATTATTTATTTTAATCCTGGAGAATGTGAAATAAGAATATATGCATGTATTAACAATAACTAGATAAAAGTAATCTTTTTTAAAACAAAAGATACAGTACCATGGTTTAAAGTAATTAAAATTTTAAAACAAAAATTCTAAAGTAAGCAATATCTGCATAAGAATTCTTACATTATTATTCACGGCATATCAATATCTAATCTCATCATAAATAGTATGTAAACCAAACAACCCCTAATTTTACTAAAATACAGATGTAACGATGTTTAGTATTACATAAGCATGTAGAAACTAAATAAACCATAGTACTACTATATGAAAGCAACGGAAAAGGGACGCTAGGTAGAAGCTAATAAACGGATTTTTTCTGGTTATCAGCGCGCTCTTTGATGATCATGTTGTTGGTATAGTTCTTGGAACGAAAGTCAAGAAAAAGTAGCAAAAGTGAGGTATTAAAGATCATATTAAAGCACAAAATTCCAACGCCAGAGCACCCAATCTCAGTTGTGAGGTGATAATAGATTGTTGCCACTCCACATAGGAAGTTAAGGATGAATTGAAAAATTTGGCAGTTGGTGACCAACCTCTTCCACCGTGGCCTCTTTCCCATTGCACAAAGGAAGTAATAAGCGTACATTATAACATGAACCGAAGAATTTGTAATCACCGCAACATGGATCATCGACTGTGAATTCGCACTAGATAGTGTGATGTAACAGATAACAGGCACCGTAGCATGGTGGTACACGTGGAGGAACGTGAGCCTTCGTGATCGAGAATTACTGAGGATGATTAAAAGGGTGTCTATGAATTCAAGAATCTTGGAAAGGTAAAAGAATTTAGCCCAGAAGTACAAAGGTCCACGTGGAAGAGTATGATTGGTAGGGAAGCAGACTATCCATTTCCAATCATGACGTGGCATCTGGTGAATGACGGAGAGGGTGCAGCCGACGGCCATGATTAGAGAGAGGAGGCAGAGAAGGAGGCTGTGCACAGTAGTGATGCGGTGGAGGGCGGTGGCGGAGAAGGTGGGAAGGAATGGCGAGAAGCGAAGAGCTAATAGAGTGAGAGACAAGTAGATAAAGACTGAAAGTGTAGGGAAAAGTAGGGAGGAACCTGAAGTGTGGCCATACTTCCATTCGAATTGGCTGATGCTTGGGTGTTCAACTAGCCAGTAGTGTGTGCTTGAATATAGAGTCTCCATTTTCATGGAGATATGAATTAGGTCAAGCAGTGGATATATTCAAGAGTAATTGACTTGTATATATAGCTGACAAAAATATGATACGTACTGACCATGCATATATGATATATATGCAATGTAAGTGATGCTTGCATTTGATGTAGGGACAATATTAGGCATTTATACCATGAAGACCCCAATCTTGGAGCGATCTAGAAATATATTTTACAGAGTAGTTTCAATCTTTATACGCGTTTAAATATTATTTGCGCTCTAAAACTTCAATTCTTAAAATACATACTTTAACCGCGATCGTAACTAATAAATACTGATCTGCAGAAACAACTTGAAACACAAATAAAATAAAAATAAACAATTGATTGTAAAAACGATATACAAAGACAACAAACTAACCTTTAATTGTTAAAGAAATTGTGCTAAAACAAAACAACAAATTAAATTTCGAAGAAAACGTAAATACCAGAAAATTAAAAGACAAATTACAAATCTTATTACTAGAATAAACAAAATAATAATAAAAAAATATAGTAACAAAGTAATGTAAAGAGAATGAACCTCATGTTGAGGCGTGAATTCAAGGAGCAACAAAGGTGTGAGTTAAATTTGAGTTGTATTTAGCAACAACCTCGGTTGAAAACAAGTGCAAAACATGCTTCTTGAAGGGTTTAAACTTGTGAACTCGGTTAAATTTTTTAACACACTTAGCTGCTGATCTGTTACTCTCTGTATTTTAAATGGTTCAGTTTTAATATTATTTACAAATTTTATGTTTACTCACATAATTAAATTTTAATTTGAAAATAAAAGAGTCTTTCGCGCTAAAGCAAATTCAATTGACTCATCTTCCAACAACGTATGTTCGTCACAGTTTCTGTAAGAAGTGATTCAACTGGCTTTGCTCCAAATCTTAAGGCATGCTCTACTAATATAACTAGGAAGCAGCATACATATACTTCATAAGTAGTTCATAGGATAGATTTCTTATTTAGGGACCATTAATGGACCGAAAATTATACTACTAAAGAATTAATTCCTTGACCTTCAACAATATATATGACTTGTTTGTGGCCTAAATTTATCCAAAGTTACTGATTTTAAGTTATATATCTCCTATATATTTCGCAAGACACAATCAGGACATTACGTTGATCAGGGAACCAGTTCACCACGGTAGTAGCACATTCGAAATATTGCGCCAAGTCTCTAGGCTCTGGACTTAATATTAAGGTAAGAACCTGACCTTTTAAAGTGATTTTCCTGAAATTATGCATGTAAGTGTTTTGAAGTGCATAAATGAATATTTAAAGTGATGCTTAGTGAACTCGTACATATGGTAATGAACGCATTATTTATGAATTTCATGATACTATTTGACTCAAATAATTAATACTTCTATAATGAGATGCAAATTAAATGATATGATGTTCCATATGATGGTTGATTAAGCCCAAAGGTCCGTATTTGGTGATATTAACGATATAAGTATGTTTTGGGGGGAACCGTATGGTTCCATGTCCCAAAACCAGGGGCATAGGCGCCTTGCACCAAGCTGTCACATGACATCGTTTTGTAATTTTTTTTTACTGAAAATATATGTTAGATAATAAGAAAAATAAAAATATTAGGTAAAAATATAAAAGTAACACCGCTTATCGTTATAGTACTTTATTCATTTTTTATTTTTTTTCAAATGGTGACACTGCTTACAAAATTTTCTGTGTATGCTACTGCCCAGAACCACATGTTGTGGTGTGAGATTATGTCTATTCACTATACGACAATAGATGTATTTGAATTTTCTTGGCATGCTCATGCTTGTCCGGTCGCCGTGTCCTAGTTCGGATTCATAATTTAAACTTTATGAGTTCTTCTTTTAAGGGTTTTAGAATTGAACTCATTATATTTTTAAAGTTATGAGCTCATATTTATTATTCTTATAATTTTATGCATTATTACATATAGATATTTACTCAACGTCGAAAGTTATCAGTTCAATTAAATAGTTATGAGTACACTAGGTACGCCCTTGGTCATGACACTGTTAATTTGTCTAACTTCGCCCAAATGATTTTAAAATTGTATATCATCTGTTGGATGGAAATAAAGTTTCAATACGTTACCGGTTAAATCTTGTAACTACGTGCGGTTTGATCCTATATTTTGGACCAATTATGCGGAGTTTTTTACAAAATGATAGATGCTACTGAGATTTCTACTTATTAAATTTATTTATTTTATGTCTACAACAGATATGAACAATACATCATAGTTTAAATCACCTGGATATTTTCTGTAAGTGCAGTTGCATTAAATTGAGTACCAGCCAACCATATCTTTTGACGTCAGGCTGCGACTCTTTGGTAAATGATTTGTTTTTATTTTCTTTTCTTTGAAGATGCTCCTCTCCCTTTCAAATCATCTGTATTTCTTTTCAGTAGGATACTAGATGTTTTATGCGTGTCAAATTTTGAAATTAGTATATCAGTATTATTCTTTTAGGTAATAATAATAGATCAGATTAATTGATTAACAAAAGCTTTATAGACCGTATGGTTAAACAGGCAACTTAATTAATTAATAACGAATTAACTTCTGTCAAACTTGTAGAGGAAAATATAAATAAATAAAAAGATGATACAGCTGTTAAATAATGCAAAATTGTAGATGTCATGAATAGCATCTTTGAAGGATAAATCGCAGATGAATGTCCTCTTTCGTCTTATATACAAACAATAGTCAAAATTAACTGGAATACTAAAAGTAAGTATGGTGCCCCGGTAGACACGCAAACCGAGTGAGTTTCCGCCGATCCCGATCCAGATGTGTCAAAGATTGAGGACTATGAGGATACGGTGCTACATCATGGCCGAAACTGTGTCACGTTGACTGTCGTCTTGCATGTAAATATAACTGATATTTCTCCAACTGTCAAGATTAGTATTGAAACAGTCAAGATAGTACGCTGTCTTCATCTTTAAGTGACAAAAACAGACTACAAAGAATAGATAGCACTCTTCAATTTATCAAATAGTCAAGATGGGTTATGTCAAATGCTCATCCAACTTAATATTTTTTGGGGGGCACATAAAGACAGATAAATTACGAGTTTTTCGGCTCTATTGCGATAAACTGTAATTTCAGTGACCATAACAAAAATTCTCACCATCCACCTTGGCATTTGACATTTGCTAATTTGGCATGCCTATTTGCTTTTCTGGTGTTGGCCGATGGATTTTCCAGGCGTCTTGATTCTCTGAACAAGGTAGAAAGTTTTTTTTTCTTTTTTTGGAAATAAATGTGAATATATTACCATAAACCAACAAATTGATACACCTAAAGAGCCCTTGAAATATTTTAACCACCTTCTAGGAAGGGTGTTAATAGAACTTTTGAATAAAAAAACTGCTTCTTTGTGCTCTCTTTGAACATTTTATGTGGTCTATCCTCTCCTTTATTTCCTGTTTGATTTCTGTTACTACTGTCTCTCTATGTACATTTTCATCCTTGAATTGTTTTAAGTTCCTTGCTCTCCAAGTGTGGTTGATTATAACTCCCCAAATGGCAGTTGCTATTTCCTTTTTGATTTGGCTCCAGTGTCTTCTTTTGAAACACACAAGGCTTTGATTGATCCCTTTTTTCTGCATGTTAATACCAGACCGGTTTTCCAGCTCCACCCTCAAGTCAGTAATCCACTTGCATTCTGCGAATAAGGTGGAAGGGGTTTCTTTATTTGCCTCATCACATGGACAACATTATAAGTTGCTATCGATTGGTATCTGCAATTTTGCTAGTCTTTCTTTTGTCAGTAGTCTTTCCTGATTGGCCAGCCATATTATAATCTTGTGCCTTGGTAGCGTTATGGAATTCAAAATTAAATCTGCTGCCTCAAGTTTATGCAAATCTCCCAGCATAGCATTATAGCTACTAGTGACAGAGTATCTTCCATTAGGTGACAAGCAGTAAGTTCCATTGTTATACCAAGCTATCATATATGTCTTGATTGAATTCAGTTTCCTCCAGTACCAGCTACAATCAGATGGTGGCTTGTGATTCCAGATGTTCTGTTCACCTCTCATATATAGGCCATGAACGCATCTAATCCATAGTGTGTCCTCCTTTTCAAGCTGCCAGATCAACTTGCCAACTGAGGCCACATTCCATTTCTTGCAACTTTTGATGTTTAGACCACCATATTTCTTGGGAGTACATAGCTTCTCCCAGGAAACTACTGCCACTTTCCTTTTTGCCTCTGAATTCCCCCATAGATAATCCATGTATCTTCTATCTACCTCCTTCAAAACACTTTGAGGTAATATAAGTACCGCCCCCCAGATATTGTACACTGAAACAGCACTGCATTAATAATTGCAGCCTTCCTGCGTAGGACAGATTTTTGGAGTATGCATTATTAATTCTGGTGGTGATTTTCTCTACCAATTGGTGGCATTCCATCTTGCTCCACTTCTTAGATGAGTGTGGCAGACCTAGGTATCTTATTGGTAGTGTCCCCAATATGAATTCTATTATATTCAACAGTTGCTCCATTATATCTTCTTCAACTCCTACGACAACCATGCTGGATTTATCTTGATTAGATATCGATCATGTAACCTCAGTAAAGTGATTAGTGCTTCTCACTCTAGTAACAGAATTTATGTCCCCTTTACAGAATATCATCAAATCATCAGCAAAAATTAAGTGTGTCAGTTTGGTAGCTTTACACATGGGATGAAATTTCAGGTAGCTTACTCATCTTTATGTCCCCTTTTCAATGTTCTGGATAAGTAATCCATCACTAGCACAAATACTAAAGGAGACATTGGATCCCCTTGTTATAGTCCTTTTTTCTCTGCAATGTACGCATGTCCTTCTCCGTTCACCTTGATAGTACAATTGGTGGATGTAATGCAGGTCACTATCAGTTGAACAAAGTATTCTGGAAACCCAAATCCTTTTAATGCCTCCTCAATGAACTCCCAACTTACCATATCATACGTTTCCCTAATGTCTATTTTCATCAAGCATCTAGGTGTGATTTTTCT